AGGCCTAAGAGGGAAGTGAAGAGTTACTGATGTACCTTCCAGGCAGCCTTGAGCCTCCATAGGCAGGTAATCATGTGCTCTCCGCTGGGGCAGTCAGGTATGTCTTACTGCCTCGGGCTGTCCCGGAGAGACACCATTGGACCCACTCCTGTTCTTCTGCTTTGTTTTTTTTTTTGGCTTGCAGGATCTCAGTTCCCCGACCAGGGATTGAACCTGGGCTACGGCAGTGACCACTAGGCCACCAGGGAACTCCTGGACCCACTCTTAAGTGGAGAGTCCAAGTGGAAAATCCTGATTTTCATTAAGAGAGTCCCTACGCTCAAAGGCTGGGCTTCTCAGGCACAAAGAACCCACACCTGCTTTAGAAAAATATAGATGCCTTTCTATATATAAAGCCTTTCAAAGATGACACAGTCACCTAAATCCAGCTACTGTGTTATAAGGAAAATAGCTGGCATTTGAGTGCTTTCTTTGTCAAGCACTGCTCTGGATATATGACCTTAATTGAGCCTCATTCTGACTTACAAATGAGGAAACTGAGTCAAAGAGAATTTAAGTAACTTGCTCCAAGTTACGCAGCTAGTAGAAGTCAGGACTTGAACCCAGGTAGCCCAGATGCAAAGCATGTGCACTTAACCACTAAATGATTGTTTCCTCTGTTTCTAGCCAAGGCCCCCAAATCTTCAATTAATTTAGGGAACAGTCTGGTGTCAAGAAAAAAAAAAAAGAATAACTCATTTATTTGCCAGGATACAAAAGGGACCTCAACTTACCAAGATCATATGATATCTAAATATATAATTTCCTTTAAAAAAAGGCCGTTCTACATTTATTGTTTTGCAACTAAATTTTTGTTATTTAACTTAATAAATAAGTTAAACATCTCTCCATGTCAAAACCTCTTTTAACGACTGTGGAGTTTATCAACATACTTAACCAATTCCCCCCAAATCTTTTAAGTGTTTGCCAGATTGTCACTCTTGTGAAAAAAGGCGGCATCATTCTGAACAACACATTAGCAGCAATGCTTCCCCCCACCCCGACCCCAGAAAGTCTCGTTTTCCTTCAACCCACTTTTTTCAGGCACTACTGGGGATTCACCCATGAAAACAAAACAACATTCCTGCTCTCTGGAGCTTCTATTCCAAGGGATGTGGAGGCGAGCGACAGATAATAAACATGTAATAATCAAGATTCCTTGAGATAGCATTAAGCGTCATGAAGAAATTGACAGGGTGATGTGATAGTGACAGGGTGGGGGGGTGACTTTTAAGTTGGGTCGTCAGGGAAAGCCTCACAGAGAAGGTGACATTTGAGTGAAGTCTCTGATTTTACCTGCACTGACCTAATTGCATTATTCCTCCACGCCTGTTCTCAAGTGGACATCTCTACAGGAGTGGGAAAACATGGCAGGATCATCAGAGCACCTATCACTCAGGAGTTGGAATGGGCACCCTGGCCTGGGAGATCCTGGTAGCTTTGAACTCTGTTCCCTCCCTGCTGCAAAATCAGCAGTTACGTCCGTTCTCCCATCTTTTTGTGGACACGTGAACACATCCTAAACCAGCCAGCAGACTTTCCACCCTGAGGAGCGAATGCGGATTCAGAAAGAGTGAAGTATTTGAGAAAATTACTCTGATTGCCGCTGTGGATAGATGTCTTCAAGTGGCTGCTAGGAACAAAACGTGCTTGGCGGTACCGTTAAAAGAGATGCAGCGGTGCTCAACGACTTCTTCCCTTGATTTCTGGCAGATAGGATCCCCCAGAAAGCTTCAGCAGAGAGAAAATGTGGTCTCAAAATCACAGCCACTTCTCCCCCACGGATGTGCCCTAGTGCCTCCTTGCCCACCATCAGCCCCTCCTCCAAGCCACATTAAGGTTTCTATTGAAAAAAGCGTGTGTTGTTCATAGTTCAGCTGTATTCAGTTGTGTATACAAGGCAGCCTGGAAAGCTCCTAACGAGCCCCATTTCATTGCATCTTCACTCTAATCATCCTCTGACTTAGTTGATATTCCCCCATTTGACAGATGAGGACACTGAGGCTCAGAGAGGGTAAATATTACACAAAATCTCACATCTAGGAAGCAGCAGGGCAGGCGGAGGACTCAAACAGCTGGTCCACCCGATTCTTAAACCCATTGTTAACCACCCAGGTACACCCCATTTCCTGGTTCTGATGCTCAAGAGAGACTGGCCTGAGGTCACACAGACAGTAAATCAGAGGCATCAATTAGGTAAGGTCAATTAAGCTGCCGTGATGAGCAACCCCCAAATCTCAGCAGCTTAGCGCAGCGCAAGTTCATTTCTCGCTCACCCTTTACGTGTCCACCGCACGGGACTCTGCTCACCATAGTGGCCCAAGGACCCAGCAGGAAAGGGAATCTGACCTGAGCACTGGCCCTTAAAGCATCGCCCTACAGGCCACGTGTCACTTTCGCTCAAGTATTTTTGATAAAGCAAGTCACAGAGCGACCCCCGACTTTAAGAAGCCGAGAAGACCTGGGACTCTGGTGGGTGAAGGGCCCTGACTGTCCCTCCAGGCCGTGGGCAGGAACTTCAGCTTGCCTGTGTAGTAGTGTGCAGTCAGCCCACTGTGGATGACGACGCTTGGGTTATTGCCTTTTCTCCCCCTATCGATCCTCCTTTTTGGTTTATTTGCTACTGAAAGTGAAACCTCAGAGAGACGGATTCTGTCCAACCAGGCCCTTTCTTTATCAGTGGCTTTGCAAGAACGATGCTCAGGGCTTTTTAAGATCCCTGGGACCTTGCTGCATTTTTAGCTCATTTAACCTGCTGCCGGAAGTCACAATAGATTTTGGGTCGTCTTGGAAGTCTGTGTGAACGAGAAACCTCCATCTTCCCGATCGGGTCTGAATATTTAAGATTTTGAAAGCTTGGCCGTACCAGATTTAATTTTAAAAGGGGAAGAGGGTTTGCTTTTGAACATCAAGAAGAAGGCTGGAGGCACAGCAGGAGCTGCGTTAGCAAAGGGGAAAAGCGAGAAAAGCCCTGTGGTCTTGAAAGAAACGCTCCAAAGCGGAAGCACTAAAGCTTCCAGTTGGTGAGCCTTAAATTAGACTTCAAAAGTGCCGCTAGTTTAAATATTGTTTATAGGACTGAAGTATTGCTGCTCCTTCCTCCAGCTGGATTTTAAACATTCCCTAATTTGATTACGCTGGGGAGAGGCAGGCAGAACCAACGTTACATGAGCTTCACTGTTAATTATTCAGAGGGCTTTTTATTGTGTAATCAAACATAAAGTCTTACAAAAAGCTTGGAGGCGCATTCTCACCCCACCCTCCCCAGCCTGACTTTCACCTTGTTGTCTGTGTGCATTTCTCAGTTTGTGGCTGTGAGCTGGTAGGTGCCCAGCAAGGGCTCTGCCAATAAAGAGCACACACATCCCCCTCCCCGTCTGGGCTGGTAGAAACCTTTGATTCTGCGGCTCAGACCCGCATGCCATAAGAATCGAGCTTTATTTATCTTGATCACCTTTGCCTCCTGTCTGAGCATCTCCCCCCACCACCAGCACTTGGCAGCCCCTGCTAAGTCTAGACTCCTGTTGGTGCCTCCCCACATCAAACTGGTCTGGCCATCTCATTCCCTCAGGTCCCTCCTCTACGCTGGATGACAGCCAGCCAAATGATCTAAAGGCTCCCAGCCATCTAAAACCCTTTCTGCAGAGAAAAAGGAGATAAAGAAAGAAAGGGATGGATGGATGGGTGGATGGATGGAGAGATCAACAGATCAGTCAGTCAATACATAGATAGGTAGAGGTCGCTGAGAGAGCTTGCTTATCAACAGGGATCCACCACCCCATAGCCACAGGTCCAGAATCCAAAAGGCTCTGAAAACTCAGTTTTGCCATAACTCAATCTGACAGCAAAATCTGACACGAACCAAACTGATTTGGTGGCAAAACTTGACTTGAAGCTATTTACGGTCTTTATCCCACCTAGTGTAAATATTCATAGATATCACTGCAGAAATATTCATGTGTTTGATTATAAGATGCTGCCGAGACCCCACTGGAAGGATTATGTTAACATATGGTCTACGTGCAGCATATTTGCATTCCAAAATGCCAAGATTCTGAATTTGGCAACACATCCGGTCCCACAGGTTTCTGATCAAGGGTTATAGGTATGTCACCATCCAAACTTGCTGGGGCTTCAGTCTCATACCCAGAAAGTTCCAACCCATGAGGGAAGATCCAGGTTTCACGCAACCTGCAGTTTATTTAATTGGGGAGAGGGGCGCTTTAAGAAAAAGGATACAAAGTTAAAATACAAAATTAGGTACAGGGCCCTGGCGGGACCCATGCAAGTGAGAGTCATTAGATTCATTGTGAATATGCACCTGGATGAGTGACTTAAGACCCCGAGTTTGTTTTCTCATCTGTAAAATGGGATGATAAATGACTGCATCACAAGGTTTTGTTGAGATGATTCAGCGAGAATGCACAGAAGCGTCTTGCATGTAGAATTGTGTAGAATTTTCACTCAATAAACTCCAAACCAGTGATTTTCATTGTGCAACACACCCTGTAAGCTCCCCCCGCCCAAGCAAAGTTAGTAATTCTCTCTGTGCGTTTACTCAGAAGTGACCCTGATGGTGGGACCCTTAGGCACCAGAGCAGGCAGAGATTTGGAAATGAACATGCTTTTTAATTCACCCCCAAGAGGAACCGCAGACCTGCGCTGGAGTCTATGAGAGGACCCAAGTCCGAAACGCAAACAGATGCGGAATGTGTACAAATACACTCCACCTCCCTCAGTCCCTACCCAGTAAGCGGTGGTCTCTCCTAACCTCGATTCCCACTCGCGAGACCCGGCTCTGAAGAACTGCCCCTTCCACTGCTTCCCGAGTATAGGAGGGGGAAAAAATCAGAGCAGAGAACAGCCACCATGCATCATCTCTTTATTGCATTTCTTAAAAGTACTTGTAGTAAAACTGAGGCTCTAGAAATGGAAAACTCATTAAGCTGTTTCTCACTCAGGGACCCAGGTGGAAGCAAGAGCACAATAAAAAAAATCAATAAGGACAAGTCCATGGGACAGAGGTGGGAGCGCTTCATCACAGCCCCAAAGGTAACTGTCAGCACGTGACTCTGCCGCCTGGCTACCAGCCCCAACTTGGGTGGGAGGCATTTTCGCCAGTCTTCTCTCTGATGGGATTTTTTTTTCTACTTGGTTCTCTGAGTGAAGGGAAGTCAGAACCTCGTGCTGTTGGATGGTTTTTATAAATTTTAATTAAAATGCTCATCTGGGGATTTTAGAAGAAATGTCGTTTGGCTGGACACCACCTCACGCAGCAGGGAAGGGGTGGCCGAGCAGCCACCTCATGAGATGTCACTGGAAGGAAATGGATTCACTCACTGTCTACGTTTAATCAGTAACAGTCACTTCTCTTTCTCTCTCGCTCTCCCTTTTCTTTCAAACTCAGTCAGAAAATAAGTGAGTGATTGAACAGACAGGGTTTTCTACAAACTAGAACGTGTGTTTATTATTAAGAGAAAATCAAGAGGTCTATTCTTTTCACTCAAAACCATTCCTAACCCCCAAAAGCCCCAAACTCATCCACTTAACAAACAAGCACCGTAATAATAATAATGGCAAGAGTAGAGAGCTAAAGGCAGTTGAGAGAGCACACAATGAGACTTTTGCTGAACCTGTGCTCCAACCCACAAAATGGATATAATGCTGGTTTCTGCTCACTTCTTTTTTTGGTTGTTGTTAGTTTCTGCTTTATAACAAAGTGAATCAGTTATACATATGTTCCCATATCTCTTCCCTCTTGCATCTCCCTCCCTCCCACCCTCCCTATCCCACCCCTCTAGGTGGTCACAAACCACCAAGCTTATCTCCTCGTGCTATGAGGCTGCTTCCCACTAGCTAGCTATTTTACATTAGTAAAGAACCCCAGGAAACAGTATGCAATCTCACTTTGAAAATGTGAAAATGCTGAGCATTATTGTGGTTATGTAATTTTAGAAGCCAATCTTGAACAGAATTACAGTGGGCCAGGTTCTGTGCTAAGGAAGCTCTTTAGGTGTATTAGCCAGTCCTGTCCTCCTAATAACCAACCGCATGGGGGCAGTATTCTTATTTCCAGGTAGGAGAGCAGAAAGTTAGGGCTTGAAGAGGTTGAGTGATTTGCATGAGGCCACACAGCTGGGCAGTGGCAGAGCCCAGAGTTAATCCTGGGTCTGTTTACTAAACCCTGTTTATTAAAACACTGAGCTCTTCAAAAGCATGTTCTCTCTGGTAGGATTATCATTGCCCCTCATGAAGGTTCACCGTTTCCTTGCTGTTTCATCAGGGCACTTCTAAGTGCCCTGAGAAGGAGAACCTTTGTTTTTATCACAGAAAGTTGCTATGGAGATATCGTGTGTATCTGTCTCCAGAGATGCACAGAAAAAGCAGGAGCCACAAACCTTTAAAAAAATGTCCTTCAGGAGTAGTCACAACTACAGTTGGAGGAAGGACGAGTGAGTCACTGCACTTGAACTCTCACTGAATTGAAATCCCCCCTGGGCGAGTCTGCAGATCAAACTCTGGGCTGCAGTGTGGTCCATTCTGAGGATGAGGGAGCACTGAATTAGGAATCAGGAGACCTAGTTTAGCCACTGTGACTCTGTTCACTGCATGGCATTGGAGAAGTCCTTTCCTCTCTCCTGACCTCAGTTTCTTCAGCTGTAAATTAAGGACTTTGAAAGAGAGGCTCCAGTCAACTTCCACAGCAAACTGATAGTGTTCTGTATGTGTGGAGCTTGTCAGTGCCAAGGCAGTGATCATTAAGAGCCGGACAAATGGCATAAATGAAAAGAATCAGGCTGGGTAACACAGTAGGGAGTGGTGAGGTCTGTGGCAAACAGGAACTCTGCACAGCTAAAGGGAAGAACCTCTGCTTAGTTCTACTCATCTCGCCATGTGAAGATGGGACCCAGGGCTTATCATTTTCAAGAGAGACCAGTAACCTCAGTTCTTATATAAAGATATCCCCAATCTGTAGAATTCTGGGCAGCTGAACATGTCTCCCCATGGGCCACCAGTTTGAAATCCCTCCTTCTAAGAAAGTACAAGGAATCATTCAGGGAAGTCTTTTCCTTTGTTGCCAAAAAGCAGTCCCTCCTGAGGTGCAACACGGCAGCCAGTTAATACCACTCCTGAGTGAAATACAAAACAGAGAGAAGAAACATTTGGGGATTTAAGTCAATTCAGGGAGAGTCAGTTCAATAAAGGGCAAGCAGGATGCTGAAACTGCCTGTCACATCTTCCCCCCACATTTTATTTTTCCGCCACTCTCAATTAATGAGAAGTGTCAGCCCTTCACTCTGGGTTTCCTGTCTGTGGCTTTTAATTGAATTTTAATTAATGGCAACTTCAGGAGCACAGGATGAAATCCTAATGCACGGAAGATGCACACAGAACTCTGGGTATGGAAAGCTCTTCTGAGATCATCCCAGCCCGTCCTCTCTGTTGTATAGACGAGGGGACAGAAGCAGGGGAGAGTGACCTGTTCAGGGCCCCCTTGAGGTCCCCTGGCTCTGAGTCTGGTGCTCATTGCAAGACTCCAGGCTGCCCTGGTGACACAATCTGTCCAGCCTTCAAAAATGACATTGATGTAAAGAGTGTGGTTTCCAGAGTCAAGAATTCATGTCGTGCCAGGTGAGACAGGAAGAGTTGCCTTCTACAGGTATTATCCCTGAGCGCTGACATTCTCTCTCCCTCTGGGGGCAGAGAGCAGAGGGGCTGTCAGTCTGGCAAGCTCTTGTCCAGTTGCGATGCCAGGACAAAGGGGACATTGCATCAAGCCCCTAATTTATCAAAGGGAAGAACATGCCAACTTTTGGCATTTGCTTTTTCTTTATCACAGTCATTTTGTAACTCCCATGCTCCCTTGGAGATCCGGTTAAACCCAGTTTGAACTCCAGTTCCCCAGGCTATCATATTCTGAAGCGTTCGTCACTTGTGTAGAATTTCACTGAATACATTGGGGGAGGTGGCCTTCCCAGGAAGATATCACATCTTAAGCCCCACAACCTTCTTCCGTCTCTCTTCCCCCACCCTCCCCTTGCCCTGTGCAAGCAAGAAATCCCTCCGCTCTTCCGGAGCAGGGAGGTTCCACCTACACTCAGGGCCCCATGAGGTGGCCAATCAAAACATTACTTCTGATCACCCACAGTGGACTCTCAGTGAGTCCTGCTGAAAACAATTCTCTCCACCCTGTTAGATATTTATTAAATGTTGTGTGGTCTTCAGTGCTGCCTCTTCTCCTTATCTTCTTCCCTAGGGTATCACACACTATGAGTTTCATCCAAAGAAGACCTTGGACTGCCCTCCACGGGCTTTCATTTCAAATGTTCTCAAATGAAATTGTTTCTCTTTTAATGGAGTGTAAACTGTAGCCCAGACCCTCACTGAGCTCTTATCCTGGAGCAGCTGAGCAACTTAGGGCAAGTTAGACATGAAGCATGAATTAAATGAAGACATAAGCCCACACAGTACATTCTGAAGTGACACCAGTCATGCAAGACGGTGTGTGTGCACGCACGCACGCACACACACACAGACACGCACACATTCCTGTAACCTGTCCACTCTGACTCCTTCCAAAAATCCCCATTCTTCTCGCAGGACTCTCCCTACCTACCCCCTTTCACCTCCTAGGACTTGTCATCTAGGTCTTCCCACCCACCTCCATCATGGCTCCTCCCCCCTCCACCCAAGGGTGCCCCCGCATCAGACAAATCTGCATCCCTCACCTGCACCTCCTGAGTGTCAAGCCTAGAGTTTTCTCCATCTTGTATTCTTCAGAAAACCCCAGTGAACATAAATCTTTATTCTTTGAGCCCCAGGTGTCATTTGGTGAACAAAAGGTTGATACATAGAATTGGGGGTCGAAACCAAGATGCAGCTAAAGAGATTAGACCCATCCTCCCCCAGTTTAAAAATCAACTCTGATGATTATTACAAAAGAAAAGTAAAAAACCGTTGTCGTCCATGGCAACATCATTGGAATACATGTTTGGCTTCCTGTGGTGACTACCTGGGCAACCATTGCACTCACTGAGTAGAATAAGTCCCATCAGACTCGCTTCCAATAAACACATGTGTATAAATTATCTTGATTTGTGACAGAAGGTCTTTCCAGACCCAGGATATGTCTCATGGTGTTTGGAAAGAGCCAAAAGGAATTCACATTCAGAGCCAGGTTTTCGCTTTTTTTCTTTCCTACTTTCCTCCCTCCCTTCCTCTTTTCCTCCGTTCTTCCCTTCCTTCCTTCCTTTCTAAAATCCCTCTTTATTTTCTCTTTCCTTCAGACCAAGAGATTCAAGGTGCCTGTAGCACGCGTCACCAGCTACAAACCAAGCCGGCGAGGCTCCACCCTCAGTCTGTCTCGGACAAGTGGAGGGTCATCCCCCCAGAGCAGCATGGTCTCCGTGAACCCGGGCTCAGATGAGCCCCAGAGTGTGATCACCCAGGCGACAGGCAGCAAGGACGTTGAGGACAGTGAATCGTCTTCGGCCAAGCCTGAAGAAGAACCTCTCCATGTCAGTAAGTCCTTCCTTAGATCTGACGAGTCTGCCCTGACTCTGCCCTGAAGCCAGATATCAAGAGCCCCATGTGCTCCACCTTCGCCCCACTCAGGTAAAGGAGACACACAGGTCCCCTAGCCCTGTTCAGTCTCCATGGACCCCTTTGCTTTCCCTCAGTGGAGATCAGAAATATACTCTAACTTGGGTTACTCTGAACCATTTCTCCTTGGGAGACAGCCCATGGTCATCAACTGCTCTTTTAAAAAATGTTAATAGTATATTTTACTTAGCCCAATTTATAAGATATTGTCATTCGACATGTGATCATATAAAGAAGTTTTGATAAGATATTTTACATTTTTTCATACTATGTTTTTGAAATTCGGTGCCAACAGCTTTATTGAGGTATAATTTGCATACCATAAAATTCACTTGTTTTAAGTGTACGCGTCAACGATTTTTTGTAAATTTATAGAGTTGTATAACCAACAGCACCATCTAATTTTAGAACGTTTCAATCAACCCCAAAGAAAACCTCACGTCCACTGGCAGTCCCTCCCCTTTCCCACCACAAGTCTACTTTCTGTCTCTGGAAGTTTGACTTTTCTGGACATTTTATATAGGGAAGTTGTATCACTCTGTGACCCCCCCACTCTGAAACAAGCCTTTTCAATGGTTCACTGTTTGGGGGACACAGGTTCTTTAGAAAATCTGTTGGAAACTATGGGCCTCTCTTTAGGAAAAAAATTCAAGCACACACACATACATGTTTTTGCACACTCTTTTAGGGGGACCCTGTGGACCTCCACCAGGTAGAATTGTGACTGGGTTCCATAAGTCGTGTAAAAAAATTCATTTTCAGGACTTCCTGGCTTGAGCTTGTATAGTAAAAGGAGACAGGAAAAGAAAGGATTTATGCAGAAAGATGGAGAAGGCAGAAGGAAGAAAGAGAAAGGGGCATGAAAGAGGAAGGCTCACTGCAGAACTACTGACTCTGGTGCATGAAACACCTTCTCTGCCATATCCCCACATGCTTTGTCCCCTCAGTGCCACCTAAGCTGAGGCCTGCCTGCTCAGTCAGTGTTCTTTCACACGATCTAGAATGCCCATAGCAACCAAAGCTGGACCAGGTTTAGTACAGATACAAGGAGGTTGAAAAAAAAGGTCAAGGTAAACCAGAAAGCCTGATTAGGGCCCCGATTATCAAAGCCAGAAATGGGCAAAAGTGCAAAAGTTCAGTAAGTGGTCAGGACTCATAGTAATGATGGCCAATGAGAAAATTTTCCACCATCCCCCTTGCTAACAGGAGACCAAGAAAAGTTCTAAGCCCTGAAAAGCTGTTTGCTGAACAGAGTATTATCGCAGATGGAGAGGAACTGAGATAAACCGTCATCAGATGTATGACTCTTCTGGATTTCTTGAACCTTCTTTCATTCAAAATGTATTTATTGAACAGCTACTGTGTTCCTGGAACCGAGGATGACAGCACCTGCCCTCCCCAAGCTTATATTTTACAAGGAAAAAGCAGACATAAACAAGAAAGCCATAAATAGCAAGCCAATTGCAGATAATACATGATTGGAAGATAATAAAACAAGATTCAGGCTAGAGAGAGACTATTGGTGGGAATGGAGCTAGGTTAGACAGGGTGGTCAAGGGAAGCCTCTCTCAGCCCTGACATTTGAGTTTCTGAAGACACGAAGCTGGGGAGGGATGCAGGGGTGAGAGCATGCGTGGCCTTTGTAGAGCAAGGTAAGGACTTCAGAATTATTCCAAGTGCAAGAGGAAGGCTCTGGAAGGTTGCATGTGTAGGGGTAACAAGACCTGGTTTTCTTTTCAAAGGTCTGTGTGTGGTTATTAATGTTGTGTCCGCGCTGTGTCTCTTAACTCTGAAAACCTTGCTCTCAAGTAAGACAAGCAGAGAAGAGTCCCCAGCTTCAAGAAGTACCTCAGGCCCAGAGTTCACATGTGGTTCTCCCAGTGGCAACCTGAGAGCTGAAGGGAGGAGGGACCAGAGGGAGAAGAGACTTGGCAGTGAGGGGAGGGGAGAATAGTGCCCTCTCTCCAGGCACCTGAGACACCACAGACCCTTCCCTAACGGCCACCCTACTCCTACTCTCAGTCTAACCAGTTGCCTGCCCCAAGCAGTGCCGTCTCCCAAAGCTCTTTTGAACCCTGCCCTCTCCATCCTGTTGCTTTTGTCTTAGTTTAGAGATAGAAAATTGGGGCGCGTGGGCTGGTTCCCGCAGACCGTGTTTTGTTTACCACACAAGGCTTTGTTTAAAAAAAAAAAAAAAGTAGGAGTGACTTTTTAAGATTGAGTGATTGGACATCAAAATTCTGATTTAAAAAAAATTATTCTTTGTGGCAACAGTGGGCCTGCAACCCTGCATGACAGCAGTCAACTGAAGCTGCCCTTCTTAGGTGGGGCATGTGCTCTCTAGTTTTCCACAGTCCCCACCACTCCCTGTTACTCCCAATCATTACATTGCTCCCAGTTGGCCAAGTGCTTGCCCATTTATCATCTCCTTTGCCCTCTTGTTTGTCTTAGAATGATGATGATGATGATACAATAACTAACCCTAGGAGGACTTTTATGTGTCAGGCACTGTATATGTGAGTGTGTGTGTGTGCGTATGTGAATATACACAGATATACATACTCATTTAATCCTCACAACAACTTTTTTTTGCCTATTTTGCAGATGAGGAAATTGGGGCACAGAGAGGTTAAGTTATGTGCCGAAAGGCACACATCCGATAAGTGATGAAGCCGGAGTTTGAAACCAGGCAGTCTGGCCCTCATGTCACACTTAATTTCTATGCTTTACCCAAGTCTCTAGAAAACGTGGGAAATGAAGGACCAAGAGAGCAGCCTGATTTTTCTCACACTAGCTTTTGTCACTCACCTGTGGTATCTGCTTCCTGTAGGCACCTAGGCTGGGGAGCCCTGGTCCAGTTTTCATCACCTCTCATCTAGATGACAGTAGCAGCCTCGTAATTAACCTCTGCTTCTTGTCTTACCCTCCCTTGCCTGCAGATTCTTGTCCGTGTTGAACCAGAAGGAACTTTCTAAATTAAAAACTTAACGTAGTGCTTCCCAGCTTAATATCTTTCAGAGACCCCCCCGCATTGCCTCTAAGACACTGCATCTGATCTTGTCCCAGGCTGCCTATAATGGGCTCCGCTCTTGCCATGTCACACCTTATACCAGGTGCTCCAGCCTCACTAAAAATACTCTCTCCTCCTAAACAATGCATCTTCTTTCATGCCCTCCTCTGTCTGTGGTGCCCTTTCACCTCCAACCCTTCAGCCGAATGGACTCCTATTCAACCTTTAAGACCCAGCTCACATATTCCCTCCCCTGTAAAGTTTTCCCTGACTCTCATTCTCTCAATTCTCTTAGTATTTTGTATTTGCATGTATTAAGTACTTAATTTTAATTTACAACTACATCTCACTGTTTCAGGTAGGAACTTCTTTTGGCTAGGTACAGAGACCTGAAAAAGAGTAGCTTAAAAAAGATAAAAACTAATTTTTCTTACAGATTAGAGATAGGGTGGTTCCAGAAGATCATCAGGGATCCTACTTCCTTCTGTCTTTCTTCTCCACCACGGATCGCTTCATGGTCCAAAATGGCTGCTGGAATGCCAGTCATCAGAGTCACATCCTACGAGGGAAGCAGAAGGAAGTAGGTGAAGTTGAGAAGTGCTCACTTCCAGCTGAGTTTTAAGCAGTCTTTTCAGAAGCTTCATACAGTATTTCTCCTAAAATCTCATGGCCCAGAATTTAGTCACAGGGGCACACCTAGCTACAAAGCATGTTGGGAAATTGGGCTAATAAATGCTTCCCTCACACACACAGACACAAAAGTATACACACACACACACACAAAAGTACATATGCATACATATATTTCTGTTACTAAAGAAAGGACAAAGGAGTGTGAGCTCCCTGCAGGGCGTGGAACAGCGTCTTACTCACCTTCTACCTGGCACACGGCAGGTGCACAGCAATGGCTGGGAGATGCATTCCCACCAGAGACCAACACCCAGGAGAGAAAGTCCTTCTCCCTCAGCCTCTTCACCCTTTTTCTCTATTTATACCTTAACCTCCATTGCATTTGTCAGAGCCTTCACAAAAGTAGATTAATTTCCCAGACTTCCATTGCCTTCTAAAACCTCCTCCTTCATGAATCCTATTCTAAGAGACATGCCATCTGACCAAGGTTTAATTTCCAGGGCTGGCTGCATAATGAAGTCTTTGTGGACACAGATCGCTGGGGACAGCAGGCCGTGGCCTCTCTGTGGAATGGTCCCTTCCCAAATCAATGGCCAAGGGATTCCGGAGGAACCAAAGCCCAGACCATTCCTTCTGCCAGTCTTGAATCTTCCAGTCTTGGAACTGTTAGAGGAGAAACTCACTTAAATAGTAACTCAAAAAGAGGGGTCCTTTGCCTTCTACTGTTCCCCCCACTCCGCCACCGAAACAACCCCATACAACAAAAGGACTTCCTTTCTTTTCCCCCAACAGAGAGGACGAAATGGGTATAGTTGCTCTCGAGGGGGATTCTTAGACAGGCCGGGGATGGACAATGGAGGAAGGGATTTTTCCTTTAGGGGTGTGATTCGGCACTGAAACAGAGGATGCTGTTATCTCTGAGCACTGGGCAATGGCATCCCCATAGCCCTGGGGACTGAGAACTAAGCAGGTTCCTCTGAGTGTGGACATCCATCACAAGACTGTCTTCCTCAGGGAGACTCTATTCTGTGGCACCTGCACCTTTTCCAAAGAAATCTCTCCTTCCTTGGAGCGTAGACATGGGCCTTGGAGGGTAGACATGGGCCTTGGTGGGTAGACATGGGCCTTGGCGGGTAGACATGGGCCTTGGCGGGTAGCTATGGGCCTCACAGTCCCAAGGCTTTGTTCTAGTTCATACATATCCAACCTCAGCTACGTGACGGGTGGAGCTTGATGTCAGTGGGCACCGTTCCGGCCCAGAGGCATTATTGGCAGAAAGAAACCTTTGGTGCATTAAATGGCACATGGAGCCTTATAGGGGACCCTCTAGGAGAGCTGCCCAGTGTGCCAGGTCACTGGGCTCATTTGCTGGTATCCATCCACTAGACTGGTTTGCTTCCGGGTAGGGGCAGGAGTGGGGGAGTGGTCAGATGGTGCTGCTGGGTCCCCAAGAGAAGGGAAGAAAGTGGAGGAAGCATCCAGGGCTCCCTCATCAGTAGGCTTCTGGACACACCCCAAGGATTCTGGGATGCGTGGCAGTAGGGAAGGTGGGCGTGACAAGACAAAAATGAAGACCAGATCCAGGTCAGATGGAATCATGCCCACCAGTTACTGGGAAGATAAACTATCAGTACTTGAGAATGAGGAAGGGGGAGTGGAAAGTGGCTAAATGCTGACGTTTGTCACAGCCTAGATGGCTCCCAGGTCACTGACGGGAGCACCCTTTCCCTAGCACCCAGTGACTTGCATTCACAAACAAGGTTGGACACAAACGGCGCTGGGAAGCACTGCCTTCACCCTTGCAGGTACGGCTTTTGGGACTTGACCTTGAGCCGACTACAGGCACCTACTAAAGAGTGAAAGGTGTCCATGTTGGCCCTGTCTTCCTTCATTGATATTCCAAATCTAGCTCATAGTCTCCCAAACCCCTTCCTACTTTTTTTTCCTCCTTAATCGTTTGCTTATTTATTTAGCAAATATCGACAGAGATGCCTGTATGACAAGCAGGGTGCCAACTGCTTGCCCATCTGTATTTGTACAAAACACTTAGGGCTTCCACTCTCCCACTTTTCTTGGAGCACCTAGCTTACTCCAAATATATATTATTTTCCAACTTTTAAGAGTGTCCATGTGTTAGATTCCCAGGGCTGCCTTAACAAAGTACATTTCCTGGCTTAAAGCAATAGGAATTTATTGTCTCACAGTGCTGGAGGTTAGACTCCAGGTGAAGGCGTCAGCAGGGCTATGCTTCTTCTGAAATCTGTATGGGAGAACCCTTCCCTGCCTCTTCTAGCTTGTGGTAGTTGTTGGTAAGCCTTGGCATTTTGGCTTGTAGACACATCAGCAGTCCAGTCTCTGCCTCTGTCATCACATGGCCATCTTCTCCCTTTGTGTCTCTCCCGCCTTATTGCAAGGACACCAGTCGTATTGGATTGAGGGCCCATCCTACTCCAGTATGACCTCATCTTAGTTGCGCCTGCAGCCACCCTATTTCTAAATAAGAACATGAATAATTCACATTCTGAGGTACTGAGGATTAGGGCTTGAACATTATCTTTTGGGAGGACGCAAGTCAACCCATAATAGTCAGGCACAAAGAAATATCTCTACATCGTGTAAAAAGCAACAATGTGAAGTATGAATATGCAAATCAACTAATGCAGTGAGGAGTGGGGGGGCACGGGGAGCTGGAGAATGCACTGGAAGTTCTAAAGGGCCCCATCAGCACGGGATGAGCCCCACCTCAGAGTCTTTTCCAGGGAAACTGGAGGCCCAGATTTGTAATGTGAAAACTTCCAGTTACGAAAAGTTTGAGCATCTACATCAAATCAAGTCAAACACATTTACGAGCTAGAGTCGGCCTGCGAATCGCCAGTTTGGAGCTTCAGGTCTTTGGGATCAGAGAGGGTTTTCCCGGGCAAGTTGATCTCTTCTTGGAATTGGAAACAGTTATCTCAGGCTACAGAAGAGTGTTTAAGGGCAGGGTGGAGGGGGGCTGCGGCCAGGAGGAATGAGATGAAACAGGAAATAGAAAGAAGCCAAGACCCTCAAGGCCTCACAGGCCATGGGGAGGAATTTAGCTGTCGTCCCAGAGGAGATGGCCAGTCACTGGTTGGAAGCAGACGAGTCACGTTTACAACCTGCAGACTTCTAGACCCCGGTCACATCCTTCTCCGGCTCCCCAGTACGCCAGAGCAGAGGCGATATCGGCCTGGGGGCTGGGCCGTGACCTGCGCAGTCCTGTCTCACGAGCACCCTGCGGACAGTGACCTCTTGTGTTCCCATCAGATCTGCAGAAGCTCCTGGAGATGGTTCGGGAAGATGCTCAGAGAACAGTCACAATGGCAGATGGGATGCAAAAACAAGCGGCCAGGTATGTTCTTTTGACACCTGGGCAAATAAAGGATGTCAGCATCATAGTGATAACATAAAGGACAGCAGTTCCCAACGGTTGAGCATTTCCTCTGTGACAAGCGCTGAACCGTGTACTTTGCTCATGTGTATCACCTCCCTGAGTTCTTCCAATAACCCTACAAGGTAGGTACTGTTGTCTTCATTTTACAAATAAGGAAATGAGGTTCAGAGAGGCTAACGAATGGTAAGGCCGCATCTCGAATCCAAATCTTTCGTATTCCAAAAGCTGTTCTCTTATCCACTCCGCTGCCCTGCTTCCCAGGAACCCAGAGGTTTATTCATTCATCCTTTTAGTGAGTATTTATGAATATGGATGGACCGTACTAATTATTGCAGGAAGTGTTATGAAAGAAAAGCTCAGACCTGTGAGAGGACATAATAGGGGCATCTGATCTAGTCCGGGATGGGATGAGAGAAGTTCCCTCCAAAGAAGAAACTTTAAGCTGAGATTTTGGATGAAGCATGAGAAGGAGCTCACCGGCCAGAGTCGCTGGGGGGTCGCCGGGAGAGCCAGCGCGGGGAGTGAATACTGCAGACGGCACATGTGCAAACATGGTCCAAAGGGAGCGTAGCACCTTCAAGGAACTGAAATCCTTCCCAGATGGGATGGGCAGAGATATAAGTCTGTCTGGGGACCTTGGAAGCCACCTCTAGGATTCTGATTTCTATCCTAGGAACAAAAAGAACCCTTTGAAGTTTCAAGCCGGCAACCAATGTAATTGGCTCAGAGAGTCAGACTTGAACCTGAGGTGTCCTCCTTCCGGCGGAAAGCCCTGTCCACTGGACCTCTGGCCTCTAAAAGTCTCAGAGAGCACGCGGGCTAGAGCTGAAGTTCCCTTTCCAAGTGTGGATCCCTCAGAGTAAGCAGAGGACTTCCTGAGAATAAATGAGGCACTGGAGAGGTTCATCGTCACCTTCAGCCTCCTGGGATGCCGGCTATGACTTATCGGTTATTGTTATTAGCATAAGTACGGTTCACCAAGCACGTTGACATGCATCACACCCGCCTCTGCTTGTTAATGATGAATTGGCTGCTGCTGCCTCAACTCACATCGGGGCTCTGGACGGTGGCGTTGAAGGCTCTCAGAGACAGTGTTGGCCCTTAAGGCCCCGGTCGCTGCGCCTGATTTATCAGTGTTAAAGACAGATGACAGTGATGAAGCATCAGCTCCAAGAGGCTCCTTCCTTTGCAAGAACTCACGCCATGAAATACTGGCTTTGGAGTCAGACCGACGTAGGTTCGAGACCTAGTGCCTTTGAACAAGTCCCTCAGCCTTTCTCTAAACCTCAGCTTTCTTATCTGTAAAATGAGATTGTGTTTCCTCAAAGCACTGGCGGTGGTACCAACTAGACTAGGGTCAATCTCCATTTCCGTGATTTAATTGCTGTGTGCTGTTGAGCAAGTTGCTTCACCTCTCTGAGCCTGATTCCAATTCTGTAAAATGAGGCTCATTAACAACCTATCCCAAAGGGTTGTAATGAGAATTAAATGATAATTTCCTAGTAAAGTGTTTTTATTGTTGTGGAAATAATGTCTACGTCACTGAGTCATTTGAAGCATTTAATGAGATAATGCATTTAACATATTAGCATGTGCCTGGCATACTGTAAGCAAACAAAAATTGGTGACAGTGGTGGTGGTGGTGGTGACTTTTGTTTCACATACAGCGTCCTATGGAACCTCTGCAGCCACTCGCTGAGACAGGTTGATTAACCAGTACCCAGTACCATGGTCCCATCTCATAGAGGGAGAAGGATGGCTGGGAGTGACCTGCTTCAGGTCCTCAAAGACAAAACCACACAAGAACCTGGTTCTCACAGAACTCATCACGTGGCCTCTGCATTCACTTTAATGATAAAATAACCATGGTTACAGTGCAAGAACCTGTTGAAATTTCCCATCCTCTTCAACTCCTCCGGGAGAAAGATCTCCCTAATCCCTTGCCAAGGCAGCAAATATTGAAGGCTTCTCTGTGGAGCTGCCCGGAGACAGTTAGGGGAAGCTGCAGATTTGCTCTTGCCCTCCTCGCTTTAAAAATGTAGATTCCTATTTCACTTTAGACAGCAGGTCTGCTCCCATCAAGACGGACGTAGAATTCTGGGGGTTTTAGGAACCCCTGAAAGCCTTCTCTCCCAGCCCTCAGCCTCAAGGGCTAGACCGCGCTCTGGTCACCGGTCTTAGGGCGTTTGGGCTGGTGAAATAAAAATCCCGTGACTGAGTGGCTTGCAAACCAGAGACATTGATTTCGCACAGTTTCTGGAGGATGGAAAGTCCGAGATCGAGGTGTCAGCAGATCAGCGTCCGGCAGGGACCCTCCTCCTCGTAGACGGCTGCCTTCTCACCGTGTCCTCACGTGTAGAAAGAACGAGCTAGCTCTCAAGGGTCTGTTTTATAAGGGCTTCAACTCCAGTCATCAGGGTCCCACCCTCATGATCTAATCACCTCCTAAAGGCCACCACCTCCTAACAGCACCCTCCTGGGATGAATCTGGGGGGCCATAAACATTCAGACCATAACATCACCTAGGAAGATGACCTTGTCTTAAAATCCTCTAGCAGTATTTTACAAATGTCCCTGAAGGTCAGAATCAGCTGGGACGCTTGTGAAAACTGCAAATTTCTGGTCTTCATCCCAGACCCACTGGATCGGAATCCTTAGAGGAAACCGCGTTTCTTAACAGGCACTTCAAGCAGGCGTCATTTCATGGTATGCCAGGAAATGCTAAGGTTTGCGAAGTATGCTCCCTGCACACCTGCATCGGAAGTCTGTGTGTGTGGTTTTAAATGCAGCGTCTGGGGTCCCACTCCAGGCCTGATGTATCCAAGTCTCTGGGAGTGTGGCTCAGGAATCTGCATTCTCATTCTGAGCAATTTTTCCGGGTGGTTCATGCCCTCCTGTAGAGCCTAGGATCCCTGCCCTAGAAGGAGAACTCTCCATTCTCCCACAGATACTTAGTGCCTTGGGGAGCATCATTTGTTCAGCGCCTTATTAAGTGACTCATCTTGCTTTGCAGTATCTTCTCAATGCTCAGACAAAACAAGAGTGATTCTGCCTATAAAGACATGCAGACCACCCGCAAATCAAGGTAGGAAGGCCTGGGGCCCTAGCAGGTGGGTCAGGAGGCACCGCACAGTCATGGGTGGCGTTGCAGAGATGCCCCTCACCAGACTGTGGAAAGTGGGGCAGGGAGGGGGATCTTCTTCCTTATTCCCTGGAAATAAGTTCCTTAACTCCCAGGTCTTGGGGGTGAGTATTCAGCCATTTCTTCCCAATAATCGTATACCATGAAGTTACAATCTTCTGGTAGTGGAGGAATGAAGTGGGGAGGGTATGTTACAGAACTACCTCTTCCCTTTTTACTTGGGTGACTTGTAACGGGGGAGGTAAAGGTCTGCCCTCAATTCATTTATTCATCTATAGAATATTCCTCAGTCCCCGCTGTATGCCAGGAACTGTGCTCAGCTCTTCAGAGATTCAGCAGCAAACAAGACAGGAGCAGTCTGACCACGTGGGTGGATCCCACTGTCTGGTCTGGGGTCATAACTCCTTTTGTGACATAGATTCTTTGACCATCCGAGGAAGCTTACAGACTCCTTTCAGAAAAAATGCTTTCAAATGCAGACTATAAATGACAAAGGTTTACAAAGAAATCTATAGTAATATCGATTACAATATTACAACCAAACGTGAGATATATAGTCGTCTGTGAGCTTCTTTAGCAATACCTTATACAATAAGACTTAGCAGCAGGTCTAATAACTACTGTAATTTTAGTGTCAAGTGTAAATGATTTTTCAAAATCTCTCCCACAATTTTAACGTGATGTGGAGAAGTGGTGATTTCCATTTCTGTGAAAGGCTGGGTGAAGAGGTAAAAGCTGGTTTTTTCCATCTGCGTTCATGGACCCCTTGCATCCTGCCCATGGTTGAGAACTGCTGTTCTAATGGGAGAGTCATGCGTTTATCAAATAACACCACAGAGGCAGCTGTATAATCATGACTGTGGAAAGCATTCTGAAGGAGGATTATGGAGGATTTGGTGAATGTTGAGCATCAGGGTTCTAACCAAGGCTGAGTTTGACATTTAAGCTGAGACCTGAAGGAAGAAAGAAGAATTAGCTAGCCTGTGTCTGGGATCTGGGATCTGCATTCTCATTCTGAGCAATCTCTCCAGGTGATTCCTATGCCCTTCCCCCTGTAGAGCCTACGGTCCCTGCTCTAGAAGGAATAGTAGGAATAGTGTTCTGAGCAGAGGGAATAGCATGTGCAAAGGGTCTGAGGCAGGAGGAAGCTTAGAGGCACTGAGCAAAGACCAGTATGGCTGAAACTCAAGGAGGGCCAAGGAGAGGGGAGACTGAGACAGGCAGAAGGGTCTTTTGTTGTTGTTTGCTGGTTTATCACAGCTAATAACATTGCTTCCTTCCTCTCCTGCCTCCCCGCCAAGTCACACTATCAGCCCTAGAAGAGAGCCGTCTACAGGAGGAAGGTCAAAGCCAGCCTGCTCCCCCAGAGAGTTCAGCAGCAGAGGTTGGGGCAACTGGGTGGAATCCAAACACATGGCCTTCTGGGTATTATCACTAGGGCTCTGCTTCCCAGCAAGGTGGGATAGGGCTTGCTCCATCACCTGCCAGACCTAAGGTCTCTAGGTCTAGTCCAGTGAGCCTCTGGGAAAAGCAGCAAAGGCCGGGCCCTTTCCTATGGGGAGTGGTCTGGGAAATGGCCTGAAGAAGCCCCGCCTGCCACAGGGCTGGAAGGGAAGGGTTAGCCACACATCATAGGGATAAGAAAAACAGTCTTACCCTCTAGAGTCACACAGATAAAGCAGTCAAGTCAGTTTCTCAAATGTTTAGAGAAACAAAGGGAGGCAGCGTGTGAGAGAAGATGCTGCAGGCCCAGGTCACTGAAGGAGGACCTGGAAAAATGTATGGGGGGATGGGCGCGGGCAAAGACCTTCACCCCCATCTAGGGACCCTAGCCAGGCAGAGTCACAGGAGGGAGCAGCTGCTTAAGGAATTCACCCCCACCCCCACCCCCACCTAGAAAGGGTCAAATGACACCAGGAGTTGACTGATGACAGATGAGGAAACTGACGACCCAGAGCAGAGGTGCTTATCCACAGCCTGGGAGAAGGCAGCGCCAGGGCTGGGCTCTGAACCCAGCTCTGCCTGCCTCCAGAGTTGAGTGCAGTGGGTGCTCAGCGCCAGGGTCCAGCTTAGAGAAGAGCAGCCTTGAATGAGGAGGCGGCCTGGGGCCGGGAACACCACAGACAATGTGCCCAGGAGGACTTGACCCCCCGCCCCAGCAGGTCTGCACTCAGCCCCAGGGTAAGTGCTGACAAGTGCAGAGAGGAGGATGGTGGGAGGGTCTGAAATGAGCCTGTCCTCCAGATGGAGAGACCGATCTCATCCAGATGAAGCTGGGATCCAGACAATGTGTCCTCCCAACAATATGCAGAGGCAAGAGGCCACAGCTGGACTTGGAGAGTCAGAGCAGGCAGAGCTTGCTCTAGGCCATGAGACAGGGCGGGATCTGAGCAGGTAGAGAAGAAACGAGGACTGTCCAGGCAGTGCATCCGGTAGGAGTAAAGGCCAAGACGCGGGGGAAATGCACATCGTGTTCTATTTCTGATGCCTCGATTAGAACCACCGCCCTCACCTGAATCCTGGTGGCCAGCAGGTGTCATGGGGGCCCTAAAGTCACCCTTTCTGGAAATATAAGGCTCCAGGCAACTTGAAACCAACCTTTGTGTTTCAGTGACAGATCCAGCAGTACAAGTGGAGACAGCCACTCCCAGGTGCCCCAGAAGAAGTCTAAAAGGTAGGCCAGCTGGGCAGCGGAAGATGCCAGGTAAGAGGGACTGTGGCAACTCTCCATCTTCCCAGGGATGTAGAAATAACCCGGTGCACACCAGACTCCCTGAAGCCATAGACACACCTGAAGGACAAAGGACTCCCAGGGCAAGGGGCTCACGGCCAAGATGCTGAGCAACCAGACCGACAACGGCAGCAAGTTCTTCCTTCATGCTTGGCGCTGGGCAAAGCATTCTGTATTCATTATCTTGCTTATTCTTCAAAACCAATCCTATGAGCCAGGGCTGGTGTCCCATTCCGCAGAGGAACAGATTGAAACCCGGCCAGGTGAAATGTCTCGCCAGAGGCCACACGGCTAAGAAGTGGTGGTACTCTCAGTTCCATCACACCATCCTTAACACCTGCTGGGCTGAAGAGACCAGATGGCTCTCTGTGGGCTCGTTTAATAAGGCTTGACCCACCAGCCTGATGTTTTGGGGAAGATCTATCTTTCCTACCTCCAGGGGAGTGCTGAAGGAGGCTCCAGTGAGGGTGGAGAACCTGGGTGGGTGTTATTGCAGAGCACCTTGGGGCCCGGGGAGGCCAGCCTCGTGGGCCTGTCCCTTGGGCTCTATCCCCCAAGCCCTTCTCATCTGTGTCCACAGCCGCAGCAACCGTGACATCATCCACTGCAAGAGTGGGGTGTGTAACGCCCTGAGGGCCAAGTTTAACAATGTGGCCCAGGAGGCTGGCCTCTGTCTACAGGACAAGATGGAAATCCTCATGAAGTAAGGGCACACATATATCCATTCACTCAAAGGACATTCATCTGGCACTTACTCTGTACCCACCAGATGCTAGGAGTTGGGGTTATAACAGGGAATAAGAAGGACCTGTTCCCTGCCCTCAGGGAGCTTGTAGTCTCCTGGAAAATATGGGCGGAGACAAAATAACTGAATTGATAAATTTATAGGTACAAATTATGATCATGCTATACTGTAAGAGAACAGGGTTCTCGGAGAGAGAGAGAAACCATGGGGTCCTCCTAATGCAGGTTGGGTAATCCAGGAAGACCTCTCTAAGGAGATGGTGTTAAGGCTGAGCCCTGACACGTGGCGAGGAGCTGGTGGTATGGTGAGAAGGTGGAAAGACATTCCAGGCATCAGGAAAAGTACAGACAAACTCCCGAGGTGGGAAGGGACATAGAACATTTGAAGAGGAGGGAGAAGTAGTAGGCATCGTGCACAGCCATAAATGTCATGACTGAGACTTGGAACTTGACTTTCCAAGCAGCAGGAGACAATTAGAAGCTTTTCTTTTCTACTCTAACAAGCCGGTCACTGCCTCCCTTCCCACCTGACCCCTTGACTACAGTGACTATTTTCACCCCACTGAACTCATCCATTCAGCGAAGGTTTCATGATGACCCTTTGCCCTCTCACCCTCTCAGCGTGGAGGGACCAGCTGCTCTGGGCCACAGGTCCGAAGTTGACTTGCCCCTACCTTCTGGGAGCTCCCAGTCTAGTGAGAGAGACAGACAAATAAAGAGGCGATTACCACACAGGGTGATGAGGGCCAGCATGGGCATAAGGAGGGGGCTAAGGGAACACAGAAAGGTCCAAGGGAAATCAGAAAGGTCTTCCTGGAGGAAACAATATTTTCAGCTTAATAAAAATAGGTGATATTTCCAGGGCACTTACTATGTACCAGACATGGGTGTAAGAGCTTCGTTTTTATTACTTGGGCCTCACAACGGTCCTGTGGGGTAGGTGCTATTACTAGACCCATTTTACAGAAGAGAAAAGTGGGCTCAAAGATGTCTCTTGTCGACGGCCACACAGTGGTTAAGTATTAATAGTAAAGGTGGAATTCAAACCTAAACCATCACACAGGAACAGTAGGAGGGAAGAGAGTTCCAGGGAGAAGCAACAGCGAAGTCCCAGAGGCAAGAAGGGGCACAGTGGGCCATAAACTGCCAGTAGTCGGGTGTGCTGGGGCTTAGGTTGTTTACAAGGTAAGCGGAGAGACAGACAGAGGCCAGATCATAAAAGGCCTTCCTAACCCAGCTGTGGAGGCTGAACTTTATCTCAGAGTCTTTGTTCACGAGCCAAACCGTAAAATGCTGGGAGGAAAGGGATGGAAAGGATAGAGATAAAGCTGGAGGATGTCGTAGGGGCTGAACAATCCAGCGCCTTGGAGGGTAAGTCACTCAGAGGACTTTACTCTGAGTCAATGGAAAGCCATTGAAATTCATAATATATAGATGAGGACATGGTTATATTTGTAATACAGTCTCTGTGGAGAGATAGGACATATACACCAAGTGATAAAGGGAATGGGGAAGAGAGGAACCAACGTGAGTTAAACACCTACTGTGTGTCTGGCACCAAGCGCAGCACTGTACCCACATTGTCATTTCCTCCTCACCACTGGGATCTAGGAATCGTTATTATCCTTCATTTTACAGACGAGAGAGCCATGTAAATACAATCAAAAGTAGGGAGAGAACGAGGGCTGATTAGAAAGTGACTGGATTTAGCGAGACTTGAGCATTTCAGGACCTCGGAGAGAGCTGTATGCCCTTGGGCCCAAAGCCAGCTTGTATATTAGAGTGGCTGAGAGGGTTAAGAAGGACGGCAAGAAGGAAGAGGCGTTTAACTCAGATCTCGAAGGGCAGCTAGGATGGTTAAAGGAGAAGAGTATCTGACTCTTCTTCCTCTTTCTCATGCAACCTGTGATGCAGGCGCCAAGAAGAAAGAGGTCTCCAGAAGTTCCGTTCTTTTGACCTTGTCTCAAATTTCCAAAAGGATGTAGCAAAAATGAGACACCACATCTCCATGGCAAAAGGAGATGCAGAAGAAATTGCACAGCACTGGTAAAGATCCTGAGAGCCAGATAAGACAGTCCCTGAAGTGGGTGAAGGGGGCAGTGGTGTGACAAAATGACCTTTGATCCCATTATCCTTCAAGACACAGAGAGGCATCACTCCAGAACTGTCCTTGGCCACCAGTACCACCCCCCCCCAAACCAGGCTATATCCAGAGTACAACCAGGCAAGAACCCCTCAGTCCCCGAATGGCACATAATCTACCCAGCTGTGTTCTCCTATTTACCTTGTCTGATCCAGCTTGCAAATCCTATCCAAGCTATCTCCTATAAGAGAGGCAGAAGAGGCAAACCAATCTGAAACTTCTACAGATTCTGAGGTCTATGGGGGGAGAACTATATTTCTCCAAATAATTTAACTCTTAAAGATACAAAGCCAGACAGGCATATCCCAGGACCCCTGTGCGCCAGCGCAGAGGGGATAATAAGTACAACAAAAAGCAGTGGGAATCGAGTGATTACTGGGTGGCAGACACTCTCCTAAATTATCTATTTTATTCCCCACAAAAATCCCGAAGGGTACATATTAACCCCCCACTTTACAAACGAGGAAATGTTAGGATTTAAACCTCTGTCTGACCTGTCTCTATGCTTAGCAGCAATAAAAAAGTGGAGTCTGATTTCCCAAAGCTCCGTCCTGTCAGGATGAGTAAATCAGGATCTACGAGTAAGATGGGGAAGCCTGAGAACGCACCCAGAATCCCTCCAAAAATGCTAATAATGCAGAGCGGGGGCTTACAAAGAGACAGGAATAAATATCTAAACGTATATCACAGATAGAAAGCAGTATGGGCAGCCGCAATGTATGATGGAGGATCAAGTTCTTCAACTTTTTCTGCAATCAGGGAAAAAAACCTTTTTTTCATGAGGTACCACTGCTGCCATCACCCACACCTGAACCCTCAGGTTAGAACCTACCTCGTTCCCACCATCTCAAGGATGGATTCCCAGACTACCTTCACACGCTGTCATCATATTAATAGAGATTCTTGAAATACACAAAGCTGTGACTCCTGCTTACTCGTTATCAGGGACACAGAAAATACACACACACACACACACACACACACACACACACACACACACACACACACACCCGCAGCAGCAGCACCTTGTGTGTGAGAGCCTCTTGCATCCTAGAAGGTATCCCACAGATGTGGCTGTGTCCTCCCTGGCTTGATTAACTCTCAAAAGAGAAGCTTCACAGCCGCATAGCACAGGGAGATCAGCTCGGTGCTTTGTGACCACCTAGAGGGGTGGGATAGGGAGGGTGGGAGGGAGACGCAAGAGGGAAGAGATATGGGGACATATGTATATGTATATCTGATTCACTTTGTTATGAAGCAGAAACTGACACACCATTGTAAAGCAATTATACTCCAATAAAGACATTAAAAAAATAAATTAAAAAACCTTCAAAAAAAAAAAGAGAAGCTTCAGAATACCAGCGTTCTTCCTTTCTTGTAACTTTTCACGTTGTCTGCTTGGTAGAAAATTCATAAACGCATCACTTTAAAGCATGCCCTTAATTTTTTTAATGCGATGCAAATCGTGCTCCAGCTTTTACTATCCATAAAAGTAAACACTTGCCTGACCTGTGGGCACTTTACATTGAGGGGGGAGGAAAGTCCCCCAGATAAAGACCGACGCTGCCTTGGAGATACCACATGAGTGATAGAGATAGTGGAGATGGGGTCCCTGTGGTGCCCAGACCCATCCCCCAGCAGTTTCCTAACTGGCCCTCTCCTCTTGGAACTGAAGGTACTTTGACCTGCTGTCCAAACTCCCTGAGGATCTGAAGAATTTCCGCCCTGCCAAAAAGATCCTGGCGAAACTGCAGAAGTTTGGGGAAAATCTGGACCTGAGGATCCGGCCGCATGTTCTCTTGAAGGTGCTGCAGGACATGAGGGTCTGGGAGCTGTGCTCTCCGGACATCGCGGTGGCTGTCGAGGTACTGACCCCTTCCTTCCCCCTCACAGTGCCTCCGGCACACTCATTCATTCCTCTCTCAACATCCAGGCACTGTTTAAGTTTTTGAAGTTTTAAAAAGACATAAAGGCCTTCATGGAACTCATCATCTAACAGGAGAGCTCTTGTCACGTGACCTTGGTTGTTCAACTCTAGGGGACGTTATATTCTGTGTAAACGGTGCCCCCTGGAAACTTGGAGGTTTTGGAGAGACATAAATAAATGGACATGTGAATACAATAACTGGCGATCGTAAAAAGGGGCACTCTAACTCTGGCAGCTTAAAATTGTGGCCCATGGACCTCACGTGGGTACTCATTAGGAATGCAGGATCTCAGGCTCCAAAGCGTATCTCATCAGCTCAGGATCTACATTTAAATGAGATGCCGGGTGACGTGTATGGACAATAAAGTCTGAGGAGCCCTGACTTAAGGTAAACGTAGAGGAGGCTCATCGTAACTAGAGCCACGGGGGAAGATGACTTTAAAGCTGAGATCTGAACAACGTAAAGGCAGCGCCGTGAAGAGAAGGGGAGGAGCAGGCCAGGAAGAGGGAACAGCTGGTGCAAAGGCCCCAAAGCAGGACAAAGCTTGACCTGTTCAGCGGCAGTCAGTGGGTTTGGGAGGAAGAGAACAGGAAGATGCACAGTTCCAAGGGGACTGAAGAGGAGTCTGTGCAGATCTCTGATGGTCAGGTTAAGGGTTTCGGTCTTATCTGGAGGGTGCTGAGGAACCACTGAAGGCTTGGCAGTAGTGGCTCACCTTCCCTACCTACCCTAGAAGTTCCTAGTTCCCTTAGGGCATCGAAAGGGGCCAGCAGATGGGGGGCGGGGACGGCCCACACTAAGGTATTAACAGGTGTCAGTGGAGTCACCTCCTTAGCTATATCTGATGGCACATGTCCATTTTAATAGGGCTTTCAGCGCCTCAAGGTGAAGAAGTGACTCAAGGGGTAGCATGCTCAGTCCTCTCGCTGTTTTCATGAGAGGTTGGCCCTTCCACAGGCTGACCTGGGTTGTGGTCAGGAGTGGGGGAGGGAGGATGACCCTGTGGGCAAGTTCATCCGCCCAGACTCTCCTTCCCACATCCTGGGAAGCTCTTTCGGGAGAGGCTCTGGCAGGCTACTCCAAAACTAAGTCTAGGGCATCTGTCCAGTTACGGGGTCTGCATTCCCCCTGCCAATTGTGGAGGCCGTGGAAAAGGCAATCGCTGAGTGGGTAAGAGGGGAGGGGGCCCGGATGCTCCCCTTGCGCTGAGCTGAGTTCGTGGCCCTAGCTAATAAAGGTTAGCATGCTCTTCTCCCCGTGAGAACATCACAGAACTTCTGTTAACCTGGGTGTGGGAGTCTCTCAACCTGGAATCTACATGAAGCTCTATGTTTTGTGTCTTAACCCTTTCCTGGAAGCAAGTCCATAGTTGTCCTCAATTCTCGAAGGGGGCCTATGAACCCAAAAAGTTTAGGGTCAAATGACTTTTTTAAAAGATATTCAGGAGTAGAAAAGAAAGAAAGATGCAGACAACTGGGTTTTCCTGCTCTCTCCAAATTTCTTGGGGCCAGTGGTGACAATGAGGGACTTAACATTAGCCTGCTGAACCGGGAAGCTGGAAAGAAACGCTTTTCTTGAGAGGACCATCCCCAGCGTGATGCCCCAAGCATTCTGAATGCCCGAAGGGTTGGACGTATCCTGGGGCCACAGCCTCAATCACAGATCTCCCAGGACCTTGTTGGGGAGGGCGGGGGCATGGAGTCTAGCTTTCAGACCAAATCTGAGGCTGTCACTGTGTCTGCCCCTCAGTTTGTGCGAGAACACATCATCCACATGCCTCACGAGGATTATATCAGCTGGCTGCAGGACCGAATCAACGTCCCCATCCGGCCCCACAGTGCCCAGACGTAGTGGGCCTGGGTTGACCAGCGATCCCAGTGGAGGAGGGCTGTCTGCACTGTGTTCCTGTTTCCTACCTACTCTCATGGATACTCGTTATGACCTAGTAGGGGCATCTGGAGACCAGATGACCCTGCCAGCGTTCTAGAGGGAGCTCCTCCCAGGTGGGAGCTCCCTCCTGCCTCGCACCCCAGCCTCAGTCTCCCAGCCTCCGTTCCTCACTGGTCTAGACTGACTCTACCTGCTCCCTCTCCAGAATCCTTCACCCTATTTCTCCTCCTCAAATGCTAGATAATAAAATTGAGTCGAATGTTTGATGTTCAGCTGGGAAAAAGTTGGAGCTGTGGAATTTGGGCGTGGTGTTCAGACCCTGATAATAACATACAGTTATCATTTATGGAGTTTTTGTTATACAACAGGCCCAGCGCTGGGTGATATTACTGCCTAATAATATCATTTAAATCTCACAATTACTTGGTTAAGTAGGTACTGATGTTATCCCCATTTCGCACCACTGGAGCTAGAGTGTATTTCTCAGCTTTGCATATACTGTCCTGGATAGAGGTGGGTGGGTGGATGGGTGGATGGGTGGATGGATGGGGTATTTCCCAACAAGGCAAATAGTGTGCCAGAAAATCTCGTTCTTAAGAGTCCTTGTAATATCTTGTGCTGGTTTGGGTTGTACAAGGAGGCTTAACTTCCTATCATCGCCGAATGTGTGTGGGCTCATTGCCATTTAACCTCTTTTCTCATCTTGATCTTCTGCTTCCCTACATCCTCACTAAGCTATAGGACCTGTAGTCATTTTAACTCTGTTACTGATGGCCAAGCTGAATTAACAATGAAACAACTGGACTTGATTTGCGGTTATGCCCCGATTATCAGAACACTCATAAAGGCTGGAGCCCAGCATCTCTCCATGATCCAGAAGGGGTGGAAAGGAAGAGAGTTGAACTGGAACCATTCTTCTGTCTAAGAAACATCTCACTCATCCGTTCACCTATTCAGTTATTTACTCACTCATTCAATGAATATTTATCAAGAGCTCAACATGCATCAACCGGGTTCTGGGTTCTGAGGGTAGAGCAGTGACCAAAGCAGACAAGACTCCTGATCTCGAGAGTTTACATGGAGACAGTTTACATGGAGTCAACAAAGGCTGATGGGGAGGGCAGAGGGACTGCATGACACCCACACTGATACCCTTTGTTTAGTGTGACTCTGTGACAGCCATTAGGGTACAGAGGTGAGATGCAGTCTGTCAGGAGTCTGCAAAGTTAAGAGATCCTAAACTTCTCTGTATTCAGTAAGAATTGGGGTGAGGGGGAGCAGAGAAGAAAGGAGGAGGGCGAAGGCCTAGAGGCAAAAAGAAGCTTAATGTCATCTGAGGAGCCAGAATAACACGCGTCTGGTTGGACTGTAAGATCAGGTTGGTAGCGCAGAGCAGGGGTTGGGAAGAGAGGGAGTCTGGGGAGGGAGGTGGAAGCCAGATTTTTAGATGCCTTCTAGGCTATGGGGCGCCATGGAAGGATTTTTCAGCAGGGGAATAATCAGATTTGCATTCAGGAAAAAAAAGACGCCTGTGTGAGGACGAGGCAGGGAGAAAGGCACTGAGATAAGGCTACGGCAGCGACCGTGGGTGGCAGTGGTTGGGGGGAGGTATTAGAAGGGTATTTAAACGGTGGAATCAGCAGAAGTTGGTGTGGCGTGGTACAAGTGGACAGAAGACAGGAATGTCAGGAATCATGTCCGGTTTTTCAGCTCAGAGCACGGGGTGGAGGATGATGCCTTTAATGTACCAGGAGGAGAGGAAGAAAAGAAGGTTCAGAACAAGAAGGTAAGGAGTTCTGTTTTGAGCATATTGAGTGGGAGATGCTTGTGGGACAGTCGAGTCGGGAGACTTAAAACTCAGGAGACAGGGTAGCACTAGGGATAGAAACATGACACCAACATCCTATGGGCCATGATTGTTAAAGCAGGAAGTGGGAGGAGAGGCTAGAAGAGGAGAGGAGAGGGAGGGTCTTGAGGACCCTTGAGGGTCACAAAAAGCTTCGAGCAGCCCGCTCACAGCCTAGCATTGACTGAGGGACTGCTTCGCTCCAGACACTGTGCAGAATGCTTGCCATGTGTTATTTCTTCTTCGTGACCTTGCAAGGCAGGGCTCACCTGCTTTACCGATGATGAAATGGAGCTTCCAAAAGGTGTTCTGTACTCATGTCCCGCTGACTCTGAATTCCCTCCCTTCTGCTGCTGCCCTCTAACGCCCCAGCCCTGACTGTATGAGACAAGAACGTCATGAAAGTTATCTGGCTTTTGGAATCATGTCCCAGGAATAGCTCTAATGATGGGGCCTCCTGGCGTCTCATTAACTTACATTTACTCTGCATTCTACGGTTTGCATCTTACTTGATGATCGCAGCATCCCTCTGTTGTGGGCATTGTTACAATCCCCATTTTACAAGTAAGGATGCCAACACTTACAGTCATTTGCCAACAGTCACATGGGCAGCAAGTGGCAGAGCCAAGTGGAGAACGTGTCTGTCTTGGGCAGGGGAGATGCTGGAATTACAAGACTTACTCCACCCTCCTGCTTGCCGCTTTCTGGGAAAGCCTATTGCTCAAGAGCTGTAGCGCCATCTAGTGGTATATATTAGTATTATGCTTCCGTCATGCTCTCCAGCAAAATAAAACCTGCCAAAAAGGAAGAAAGCAAGCATTAACAGCTTAGGCAAGGAGTATTTATCCAAACAAAGGAAGCTCTTTTACTACTAAAATAGATTAGGGACCAGAAGGAGGCAATACATCACCTCCCAGCTCCCAAGCTCAAAAAATATTTCTCAGGGAGAAATATTTTGCTGTGAGCCTTTTCATCAGAATCATAATTGAGCCCCTACTGTATGCCAAGCCCGTGCCAGGTGGTCCTCTGTTCCACTGCCCTGACTGAGCCACCTGAGTGGTTATCATGAGACTTTTTAAAACCCCATGCGCCCTGAAGAAGCTTTTTCTGTAAAGGAGCAGATAGTACATATCTGTTGCATATTCTTCTTATGTACGTGGCCCTTTAAAAATGTAAAAACCTTCTGAGGTTGGAGGTCACACTAAAGTAGACTACAGGACAGATTTGGACCATGGGCCGAAGTGGAACAGAGGGATGGACATGTAAAGTAATCCAAT